CACACTGTCCCGCGAGGGTTCCACCCCCCGCTTAGCCACTGGAGCGACGTCCCTCAGCGGAGCCGACTTCTATAAGTTCCAATTTTGTGCTCCGCGGCTCTAGCACTTGCCAGAAGCAGCCAACGGAGGCCCCCCTCCCCCGCCGTCTATCCTCCCGAATATCGCCTAAGATTCACTTCTCCGCACGTCCTACCTTCCAGTAAGTGGTCGCTTTTCTGTTCAGAGAGTTGTTACTATTCTTTTCTTCGATCTCCTGTTGAGTTTGTAGGTGTTCAGAATGGTTTGATCCCTATCCAGCTGAATTCCTGAGACCAGATGAAGTCCACGTCTCCTACTCCTCCGCCATCTTGCTCTGCCCCCAGAGGAATTCTTGATTATTGCATTTTATTTTCCATCCTACAAAATAACTCTTCTAACAATGACTAGTTAATTTCTTCCTTCTTTTCCTTTCCTTCCTTCCTTCCTTCCTTCCTTCCTTCCTTCCTTCCTTCCTTCCTTCTTCCTTCCTTCCATCCATCCATCTTTCTATCCATCCATCTGTCATTGTGAACTCATGGGTCTAAGCACATTAGCTATGTTTTAATTCTCTGCTCCTGTGGGAATTTCTCTAAGTTGGCTTCTAGGGTTTTTTTTAGGATAAAATGGTAGTACTCTTGGCAGCTTCCTATGACATGATACTCCTGGGTCATCTTGTACAGCCATTTCTCCAAGGAGTCCTGGTTCCTTTTAGTGGAAAATGGTATTTGGAGATCATCAACTAGACTAGATGTGACCATTATTGGTACTGGCTTGGTCATTGTTTTCTAGGCTTTTTCAGTGAACAGACGCAAGGGGTCATGAGGGGTCATGTTGATACTTACAGTTCAGATTCAGGACTGTCATATTTTTACATGTTTGTTTGACATTTGGATCTTCTTTCTTCCACACTGAGAAACCTGGTTCTCAAGGACACAGAGAGTGGTAGAATTAGAATTAGAATATTGCAGTTACCCACTTGCTTTACCCTACTGTATACAACAGTTTAGAATAACAGTACCAACCTTATCTTCAGCAGTGTGATTACTGAAACTGTAAAAAAAAGTTTGCCGTTATATTTCCCTTATGGTATTTCTCACTAGAAATGTAAGACAATTTTAAAATGTAGGAATCTTTGGATTTTCTCTGAAAGTATGCATTTCCTTTTTATTTTAAAAATGTTAAAAGTATATTTCCTGAAACTTAATTAGAAATTATGCAGGTCTGTTGAACTCTATTCAAAACTCTTGGGACTAATCTAGGATCCTTGAGTGGTTTGAACCTCTGTGGGTGCCGGGTTGGTATGGTATACCGATTTTATATTGATCTGCTCCAGTTCTTTTGAAGGATCTTATTGATCTGGGGAGATCTTTATCCCCTAAGTAAGCTGAAATCCTGATTTGCTGTCTATAGCAGTTGATAATGTGATTGTACACACATGTAGAGGAAAGCAGGCGCAGTCAGGATTGCTTAGTCCAGTGAATTAATGTAAAACTGGTCTTTCATAAAAATGCTGAAAACTTGTTTCTCAGTTCACTGTAGTTTTATAATTTGTTCATAGTTTTAAAACTTTGGTAGGGAATGTAGTTTTGAGTAACTTTTAGAAAATGCAGGATTTTTTTTTTTTTTTTTTTTGCCTTGTTACCACCTACGGAGTACCCGTATATGTAAAACATTGTAGGGACTGGTGGTGCATATGATAGCTGATGATAATAGAGAACCCTAATGAAATAGTAGGTATTGTTTTGTTTTGTTTTGTTTCTTGAAGATTTTATTTATTTATTTGAGAGAGAGAGAGGGAGAAAGAGGGCATGCACGAGGAGTAGGGACGAGGGGCAGAGGGAGAAGCAGAGTCCCCGCTGAACGGGGGGAGCCGACGCAGGGTTCAATCCCGGGACTCTGGGATCATGCCTGAGCCAGAGGCAGATGCTTAACTGACTGAACCACCCAGGTGCCCAACAGTGGGTATTGTTTTATGAGCTACATATGTATTAACTCATTTAATCCTCATAGAGCTCCATAGGTAGTACTGGTTATTATCTTTTTTGTATAGACAAGGAAACTTGCCCAAGGTCCTCTAGCCAGTGACAGAGATGACCCCAGGCAGCCCATGTCAGTGTGTGCTCTTAACCAAATGCTCTTGTGCCTCTCAGAACAAATTTGAGGAGACAGTTTCCCAGGCCAAAGAAAATTCATTCTCTAAGGCAATAGAGTAATGGTTAATTATAGAATCAGTCCTTTGTTGCCTGGTTATAAGACTTATTCAAAGTTTGTTTTTATATGTAAAGTTTGTTTTTAATTGGAAAAAATGTTAGTGAAGTTGTAATATGATTTTACTATTTGTGAACTCACTATTTTACCATCAAATTTGTTTTGTTTTTTTTTAATAAGATTATTTGTTTGAGAGAGCGAGCGTGCGTCATCAGGGGCAGAGGGAGAGGGAGAATCCCAAGCAGACTCCATGCTGAGCATGGAGCCTGACCCGGGACTCCATCTCATGACTCTGAAATCATGACCTGAGCCAAAATCAAGAGCCAGACGCTCAACCAACTGAGCCACCTGGGCGCCCTACATCAGATTCATCTCTTTTGACCAGCTTTTGGTCTCTGGCAAGTCCCTTAACACCGTGGGTCTTGATTTTTTTTTCTGTAAAATTGAGGGGCGCCTGGGTGGCTCAGTCGTTAAGCGACTGCCTTCAGCTCAGGTCATGATCCCAGGGTCCTGGGATCGAGCCCTGCATCGGGCTCCCTGCTCAGCGGGAAGCCTGCTTCTCCCTCTCCCACTCCCCCTGCTTGTGTTCCCTCTCTTGCTGTCACTCTCTCTGTCAAATAAATGAATGAAATCTTAAAAAAAAAAAAATTGAACTTGCTAGTCTTGTAAAACTTCATATTGCTGACTTCTATATGATTTGTAAATACTGTTTTAGAATCTTAAAATAGCATTTTTATTTTGTTAATGACTTTAAAAAAATTACAAAGGTATGTTTATTGTTAGAGAATTTGGAGAAAAGAGAACACTGCAAGAAAAAAAAAGCAAAAAAAGTCCTTTCTCTACTTCTAAACCCATGTAAAATGACTGTTATTTTTCTTTCCAGACTTTTTCTAAATATTTTTCATGTGTCTATTTATACATAAGTGGGATTATTTTTTAACCTTGTATAATGACAAATCCCTGAAAATTTCTAAGCATTTCTAATGACTGATATTCTGTTGCTTAGCTGTTTTAAAAATTGTATAATTATTGTATTATTGGGCATTTAAATTATTTTGAAGTTTTCATTTGTGTTCATTATTTGCCTCTAACTCTTTTCTTTTTTTTGCCTCTAACTCTTAATGATCTTCTCAACATCAAGTCCTTGAAGACTCTTTGCTAGATGAAAGGGCACTCACTAAAATTCGTGGTTTATTGTAGCTAAAATTTTTATATCTTAAAGGCCTTTCAGTTTGATATTTGCTCTTTTAATTCAAACAAAACTCTCATTAACTGGACCTGAACAAATGAGATCCCATCCATTTGTTAGATGGAGAGACACAAATACTTTCAAGTAAGCAAGGGTATTTTTTCATCAAAAAACCTGCCAGAATGTTTTCTGGGGTCGGTACTCATTTACACCCAGGTCCTAAGCATGTATTTATGTCACCAGTGCTTTGAGAGAAATGTCCCTCAGGAATGGGCTGGAAATACCCGTGTCCTGTAGTAGAAGATATTTGATTATGTTTTTTTCAACTTATAAAGGCAGAGAAGTGGATGAATATTAATTTTTTTTTAAATTTTCACAGTAAGAGCTGTGTGAAGTTTCAGTGACTATTTACTTTCTTTGACAGTCCCTACTTCTGAGATAGAATTTTAAGATCATCTTAGAGCTCTACACCAGAATCTTCTGAAACATCTACTTATAAAGCTAACCTAACTGTTGGAACTCTTTAGACTTAATTCTGTAGAATCTTTAAGACTTTTGGGGGGAAAAACATTTCTAGAGTCAAATGTGATTGGTCTAATATTTTGCAATTGTTTTAGGCAAAGGGGCCGATTTGAGTAAGCCTCCATGCCGGAAAGCAAAGGAAATCCGGAAAGAAAGGAAAAGGTTAAAACTCATGCAGCAGAACCCAGCTGGAGAACTTGAGGGTTTCCAGGCTCACGGTGAACCACCATCTTTGTTCCCACCAAAGGCTAATAAATCCAACCAGCCCAAATCGCTTGAAGATTTAATTTTTGAATCTTTACCAGAGAATGCATCACACAAGTTAGAGGTACTTTGGAGGGTGTTTTGTTTTATTTTTTTGTTGTTGTTGGTACCTTGATTATTTTCATTTGAGGTCATACTAAGTTGATATTTTGCTGTTTAAATAATGGGAAATTAAGTGAATTGGGATGGAGTAGCATTTGTATTTACTAGGTTAACTACTATTTGAGAAAACCCTTTTTTTTTTTTAAGATTTAAAATAAATACTTCATGCAGTTTGGCTACTAAAGTTGTGAAAATAATTTCAGTTTTAGCATGTTACTATGTAAGGGACTCTGGCTTTTTGTATCCCTTGATTGAAATTTAGTAGTTAAAGTGACAAAATATACTATTTAAAATTTCACTGTTAGCAATTTTGGTTAGATCCTGAAGGAGAATAGATCACACCAGGCAAATCACTGTTTTATCCATTCTAGTATCCTGATCTTCATTAAGGCAACAAATGGTAGTACATATGCGAGCCAGCAATTAGGAATTAACTAAATAGTACTAAGTTATACGACTTTAATCCTCTCTCAGTAATTCAAACCTCTGTAGGCATAGTATGATTACTTTTAGAGTATTCCTATTATTTTTTATTTACATCCCAGATTAAATCTACATTCTTCAGTATTTGGTGTTTATACATTTTTTTTCTGAATCATTAATGATAATGATTTTGTTATATTCTCATATCTCATTAATAACTGGTCAGCCTTTGAATTTGTAGCTTAATACCATCTAAGAGCTTTGCTAAGGACCTGATATTGAAAATTAACTTTAATGCAATCTAAACCTTAGGATCATATATATTATCAGACATAAGTCTTAACAACTTTGACTATTATAATTCCTTAACTGCTCTGATTTTGGTATTGACTTTCTCCTTCTCAAATTGTAAAGAGAATTGAACATACTACTTAAAGTATGTAATAGCAGTTCGGCAGCAGGCAGCTTTTACTTTTCTAACGTAATGATACCTTGGATGGGCAGAGACGTTTTGTCCACCGTATATTACTCTTTCTTTGCAGAAGAATTGCTTCTTATGGCATACGTGAAAATTTTCCAGTTAGCCCTTTTATTATACTGCATTCGATTTTCTGTTTTACTATTGTGTTTTGCTAACACATTTTAACTGGTTAGTGAATAATCAGTGTTAAAATAAATGTTCACCATTACTGTGCGGTTACTGTTAACTCATCCTTATTTTGTTTGTGAGGAAACTAAGGCACAGAGAGGTAAATTTATTTGCTTGACCAAGATGGTGACATTGAAAATTTGAGTAAAAGAAATTTAACTTTAGGGTCTTCATTCTTAACTATGCCATGAAATAGGAATACTTTGTGAGGGTTGTCTTTCACACTTATAAAAACAAAATCTGTAAGTTTAGAGTTAGGAGTGATGCATGAAGAGTGTCTAGAAAATATATTCACATTTTTAGTTTTTCCGAATGATTTACTGAAGGTGAGTTGCATACAACTGGAATTCAAGAGTATTTATTTGTGTTTGTGTCTTGAGTGCCAGAAGTATCCTGCCATTTTACAATAGAGTCAGTCTTCCATAATTCAGTCATAGATCTTAGTCTTAAGAGTTTAGACAGGATCCTCTGCCTTTTTAATGAGTCTGGAAGTTGGAGAAATAACTTTTTTAAAAAATTTACTATCTTGTTAATTTTTAATGTTAAAATATTATCGTATGTTTATGCTTTAATATTTGTATGGGAACTTTTGGTTCTTTTTGGGTGGGAGTAACTGTTAATGCGTATTCTGTGGAATAAATAATTAACGAACATTGTTTTTTAACTCCTTCTGAAGGTGAGGGTGGTGAGGTCATCTCCACCAAGTTCTCAGTTCAAAGCCACATTTCAGGAGTCTTACCAGGTCTATAAACGTTACCAGATGGTTATTCACAAGGATCCACCTGATAAACCAACTGTGAGCCAGGTCAGCAGGCCAAGTGTAATTTTTCTGTGCAAATGGAACTTCCCCCTCCATTTGATACCATTGTATTATAACTTGATTTATTTGTGGTACATTTTATTTATATTCAATTTGCAGCATATCTGCAAAATGATAGGAATGTGGAGTAACGGACATTCTGAAAGTGCACATTTTACCTAGGACATGTTAAGTGCCAGTCATGTGTAACTGCAAAGTGGAAAGTAACACGTAAAATGAATTATCTTTAAAGTTGCTATGTCTGGATGTATTTATCTAAAAATTAATAATAGAACTCTAAGATAAAATATTTATGTGGAAAAAAGCAAAAAAGGCTTTATATTTTTATGATAAGCATACTTTGCACAACATGGTTAATAGGCTTTATCTCCATTTAAAAGTCATGTATAGACAGAGTTCATGACAGCTAAATTATACACAACTGAGTGGGACTAGAAAAGTAAGACAGTAGAATTTTTTTAAAAATAAAATATTTTAATAGAAGTTCTCATATGCTTGTAATTTTGTAAATCAGAATATCCAAGAAAAATGTGGAAGGGGAAAAATCTTAATACTAGTAGAGGGGACAAAAGTAGTGACCACTACCATGAGCAACAATATTGACTCTGTGCATAGAACCACAATAGGTGGAAAGGGTAAAAAATAAAAGAAAAATAAATTGTCCTGGCCCTTAGGAGTTAAAAATTCTCCTAAGTGTTAGTATAAAGTTAGCGCTTTCAGCTCTGGGCCAGTCAGCACGTTCCAGGGTTTATTTATTTCATGAAAAACTCCAGCGCTGAGCTTTGGAAGTGGATTTGCGGAGATCTTACTCTAGCCTCACCTTCAGAAGCACATCAGCAGGTAGAGATGTTTCAATAGCATTTGCTTGTATTTTCCTTGCTCTGAAGGTGAGGTTAGTACCTGTCTCCTTTGAGGACCCAGAGTTCAAGTCGTCCTTCAGCCAGTCATTTTCTTTATATGTCAAGTATCAAATGGCCATCCACCAGGATCCGCCTGATGAATGTGGGAAGACTGAGGTACCTTTTGTGAAATGTTTATTCCTATCTTGATGAGGTTGTCTATGAAGAAGCATAGAACTTTCTTTTGCTCTTTCCTTATTTGTTAAGTAAAGCTGATGATCCTTTTCAGTGTATGTGACTAAACTTTTATGAAAACAAGTCCTACATGTGAGCATTTAAGTCCCTCAGAAAAAAGGATAGGTTTGTATTCAGGGTTCTCAGAACCTGGCGTAGTCTGTGTGTGTGTTCAGTCATCAGGCTGAGTCAGCAAACACCACTGACCGCTGCTTATGTGCCAGACCAGACCATGGGCCACGGCACAAAGGGAAGAATCTCTGCCTTCGAGGAGTTGATAATCAAATGGGAAAGATGGACCAGTGAACAAACATCTTATCAAGAAGCCGGTGGAAAAGAATTAAATATGTTGAGATTATACAGACTATCACTTAACAAGCATTTACTGAGGGCTTATATTTTCCAGGCTGGAGAGATCTAGATGAATGAGAGATTGCATAGTTGTCACAGGAGGGATATATTAGAAGAAAGATGCCAACAGATGCAGAAGAATTAAAATTTGGATTTGTTTGTTTTAATGACACTGTGTTAGATTAAAAGAGAGTGAGACAAGAGTTAATGCTGTGTGTTCCCTGAGAGAGGGCTGACTTTCAGGTTTCCCAGAACCTTACTGGGTCAAGTGTGGTCTGCAGACCAACAGCATCCACCTGGGATGCAGAATCTGGGGTCCCACTTCAGCCCTGCTGAATCCAAATCGGCATTTTGAATTAGGTCTCTGGGCAATTTGAATGCCAATTTGAAGTGCTTCCATAAGTTCCCCATTGAGCCATGCAGCTGTGGATGATAGTGTTTACAAATAGTAAGGAGTCTGCCAGATGCAAACAGCTCCCTTTGATATTCTCAGGGGGTTTTACTCCTGAACATTACTCCGTCCTGTTACCCTGGAGGTTTTGGCTTTGTGCTGCCTGCCTACCAGGTATGAATGGTTGGGCCATGACACCAGGCCATGATCTGATGTGTTTACGGGGTAAAGATTACTTTCCTGGAACTTCACCCACTTAGGCTTCAGGCCTCCATGGAGTCCAGTCCTGCAGACTAGTCCATTGCTACCAGTGTTCGCAGCCTGATTGGTGCAACAGAGGGGCAGGCAGTTCCAGTGCCATTAGGGTTAGCTATTGGATTAGTAAGTAGGGGAAGCCAGCTTAGTATGGGACTGGAGGTTAAGGAGGTTTTCTGAAGGAGGTGACTTCTGAGCCAAGTCTTAAAGGATAAATAAATGTTTGTCAGGCCAAAGGGGAGAAGGGCATTCTTGGCAACAGGACTAAGAAGTATAAAATGCCACCTATGGAATATTCTTGCTGAAGACACTGAACCTGAATTATAAGCTTCTAGATGGAATAACCGGTTCACAAAAAATATGAGGGATAAAGGATTATTTAAAATGATACCTGGGCACTTCTGTAAGATAAATCTATAATAAACAGTGTTTAAAAGGAGGGAAATCTCTAGATTAAAAGCTATAAACTTTAAAAAAAATACATAACTACAGTACCATAATCATGCCCAGCAAGCTTAACAATAATTATGTCATCTCATGCCTAGTACATGTTAGATTTTCTTTAGTTGTCTCAAAAATGTCTTTTTTTTTTAAATGTCTTTTTATAGTTGGTTTGTTTGGATCGGGATTCTTGTAAGATCTATACATCCCATTTGGTTGAACATCTTTAATTTAAAATAAATTTCCTTCTTGTTTTTAATAGCATTTTTAAAAGAAACTGGGTCGTTTATCTTAGAATTAATTTTGCTTCTAATGATACTTTTTGAAAATGTAAGCACATACACGTGTGGTATCTGTGTGATCTCTCCGTATATGTGGTGTGTGTATGTGTATCTCTGTGTACGCATGTTTGACAACATACCAGTACATATACATATACTTAGACATACATGCACATGTTTCCCCCTCTTTATTATACAAACACACTATACTTGGAGGTCACACAAGAACAATATATAGAGATCTTCATTTTCTAGCTGCTGGGTACTTGAATGGTTTCTTCATTCTGACCTTTACTGGTGGCCATCTGGTGATTTCTAGTCTTTTACCCTTTCATAGTGTTGCACTGAGTACCCTTGTACATAGAATTGTTTGTATTTTTGTCGCTGTGTCTTTGTGATAAGCTTCCAGATTGCTGGGTCAGTTCCTCTCCAGAGGAATTCCTTTTCACAGGGTTTGTACCCTTTTGTAGCCAGCAGTCTTATGTGAATGTTTGTTCCTCCATGGCCTTGGTCACTGAGATTTTATAAGAATTGTGAGTTTTTGCCATATACATGCAAATGAAATTTGTGTCGTTTTAATTTTCATTCCTTTTATTATAAATGAAATTGAGCATGTTTTCTTATGTTTAAAATCCATTTGAGTTTTATCTTCTGTGAACCATGTGGTCATAGTTTTGCTTGTTTTTCTAGGAGTACTTTTTTTCTGTCCATTTCTTAGAAACTGTTTATATATTAAGGACCTAAGCCCTTGGGATAAAAGTTGCAGATATTTCTCTTTAGTTTGTCATTTATCTTTTTACTTTGCTTTTGGTGTTTTGCAGTGCCAAAGTTGATTATTATGCCATCAGATAATCAAGGGGCCAGAATTTGCAGACCTTAAGGTCTTGGACTTTAACCTTAGCAGTAATAAAGAATGATTGAAGGATTTTAGATAGTGGAGCTGGAGAATTCCATTTAGTTGTTAAGAAATGTGTTAGGACTTGAGAGGCAACAGAAACCAAAGTTGAATTGATTTTTTTAAAGAAAGGATTTATTTGCCTATGTAACAAAGAAGTTTTGACTTCATTAGATCTCAGGAAAATACCATTAGTGTCTCTTGCTTGTGGTCTTCCAGCTTGCTTTCTTTGTAAGGATTGAATCTGACGCAGGCACATGGTGGCAGAGATGAATACTGCCAGTTTGAGGTAGGTTGTTCTCACAGCGAGTGATCTCAGCAAAAAATAATGTGCACTTCTTTTCTTATTTCAGTAAGAAGTCCCGAGGAAGGTACTGATTGGCCCAACTTTTTTTTTTTTTTAAAGATTTATTTATTTATTTATTTATTTGAGAGAGAGAGAATGAGATAGAACATGAGAGGGGGAAGGGTCAGAAGGAGAGGCAGACTCCCCGCCGAGCAGGGAGCCCGATGCGGGACTCAATCCTGGGACTCCAGGATCATGACCTGAGCCGAAGGCAGTCACTCAGCCAACTGAGCCACCCAGGCGCCCTGACTGGCCCAACTTGAGATACATTCTTATCCCTGAACCAGTCACTGTGACTGGAGGATGGAGAACTTTGGTCATGTCTGGATCACATGCCCCACCCAAGAGCTTAGTTGGAGGAAGGTGCTTATTTGAACCACATATTTTAAGAGGAGTAGATGAGTGGTTCCCACAATAATGTTGGCCAGGTTTTATTTAAGAGTGGTGAGACTTGAGGCAGAGCCAGTGAGGTATGATGGACTTGAAGTCATACTGGTAGGAAGAGGAGGGTGGGGGTACAGCAGACACTTCAGAGGTAGAGTTGATGAGGATTTGGTGTTTGACTTGAAGGATGTTTGGGAGTTGGAAATGGAGGAGAGGGACGAGTCCAGATTGATTTTCCGTTTCTGGCTTGCATGACTAGGTAGATGATGGTGACCTTATCTGAGATAAGAAATACCAGAGGAAGAAGAATTTGTGCATTTTGGGACAGAAGATGAGTTCTGTGTTGGCTAGGTTGAGTTTGAGAAGCCTGTGGGACAACTAACTGTGGGAAGATACTAATCAGAAACCAGCATCTGGAACTTAGCATCTGGAGAGGCTCCAGGGTGGTGGTCTGTATTTACACTGAAGGTATGAATGAGGCTTCCCCTCCCCCCGACCATGGGGCTTGAACTCACAATTCTGAGATCAAGACCTGAGCTGAGATCCAGAGTTGGATGCTTAACTGACT